CAGGATCACCCACCGGAACCAGCAGGCTTCCAGACAAGGAGGTATGAGCAGCAGCCCGCCAGAGACAAGCCTGCAGCCCCTCCCAATGCCGAGAACTCAGGCTCAAAAAATCTCAAAATCTCGGGGTGGCCCAGTGCCTCCAAGATGCGGGGGCTAAGCATGGGCACCTCAGACGTCAAAACTGAACTGGCCCTGAAAATCGTCTAGCCCACACTCCCAGGGGAGAGCGGGGGCAACCGAGGCCCAGAGAGGGAAAGGACTAGCCCAGAGTTATAGGCAAGGTGGGAATGGGGTCAGGGCTCGAGTCTGCTTTGTATTTGAACTCGCCACTTGGTGATTTCCACATTTTGTGTCCGTGTCGGAAGGCGAGGAAGTATCAGGGTTCCAGGAAGGGGCTCTTCACTGTGGCTTATGCCTCTCTCTTCATTCATTCATTCATTCATTCATTCAACAGGGCTGGATGGCAGGAGGAGGGGAAGCAGGGATGGTCATATCAGGGTTTCCGGCCATTCATTCATTCACTTATTGAGCACCTAATAATATGTTCTCAGGGGTAGACACAGGAGCTCTGACTACAAACCACAGAGACCCTTCTCCATTCAGTCGTGCCTTCCGAGCTGGTGTTGGGGGTGCTGTCTTCACAATGGTCCGTGGGAAGCTGGGGATGTCCTTGTGAACTCCCATCTTAGAATCACCTTCAGATCCAATTTATAAGCCAGGGAGAAAATCTGTCTCAGCACTTTTCATTTACCTCTCTCTAACGTGTTTAATTATTTTGGCAAGACATGATGGTCTCCTTCCACTCCACCACACACACACGTCACCAGATAATGCCATCTCACTATAAAAACGAAAACCAGCTCATCTTTCAGAAGCCTGAAAAGCATGGCCTGTGGCATCAGACACATCCGAGTTTGAACCCTGAGTCTGCCTGGCCTGGCTATGTAACCCCAGCCAAACGACTCAACCTTTGTAAGCCTCACTTTGTTGTCTGTTAAAGAGACATGATGCTATGCCTGGTCAGCCCTCCATGAGGACTAGAGATGAGGTACTTCCAGGGTCTACCGCAGCACCCTGCACAGAGACAGAGCTCAGAAATGACAACTGTGTGGTTTCCAACTCCCTGGCCGGGGGGCTGTAGAATTTTACAAACGTTTTGGACAGTCTTGGTGGCCAGGCCCGCATGTGCAGGCTCCTCAGTGGATGGGGAACCTCGGCATGTTTGTTAAAAGACAGCGCGGTGCAGAATGGCAGGGTCCTCGTTTCCTCGGAGAACCACATACTTAGAGGGCCTCTGGTCCGGTGCCTCCATTGGCCTGAGGGGGGAGGGCGGGGCCCCGAGAGGGAGAAGGTCTCCTAATCAGCCCCGCAAGTCAGTGGCAGCTGGTACCAGTCCCTGCAGGCGGCCGACAGAGCTGATCGAAATCTGCAGGTCCCAAGAATGTCACAAGATCTGGACTCGAGGCTCAGACATCCCCAGGCTCCTGAGGGCAGGGGCCGCCACCACCCCTTATGACTCTAGCTTTACCTTGTTCACAAAGGGTGGGCAGTGGGTGTGGCTGCTGGGAGAAGGTGCCAGCAGGGCAAGATGAGACATTCCATATGGCCTTCCTCTCTCCCTGTCCTGGAGCCACCCGGACTTCCAGGCACAGGACCTCCATCTAGGTACCCTCTCAAAAACCTCCCACAGGTGTCTCCTCGTGTCCTCATATAACCAGCCCCATCGCAAACGGCTAGTCACTACTGCCCCACTTGACAGATGGGAACACCAAAGTCAGATACAAGTCATTGGCTTTAGAGCCAGACCTGGGACCTAGAAACAAGCTGGAACCCTAAGTCTCCTCTCTCCCAGCCCACCATGCTGAGCTGTCTGGAACACAGCAGGGAGCTCTTCAGAGGACCCGCCTTCACCATGCCCAATCCAGGCCACAGCCAAAGGAAATCACTTCTCTCTAAGTATAAATTCTCCAAGAAATAATATTTCTAAGCCCTCAAGTGCTAAAGGGGAGAAAGAAACAGAAGAAAGGACTGAAGGAAGACATGAATTACCTAGACGGGGGAAATCTCGAGGGTCAGCATGGTGGGGCAGGAAGGGTGCACCGTTTATTGAGCGTCAGGCTGACTGGCTCTGTTCCTTATTAGCCATGTGACCTCGGGCAAGTCATCCAGTCTTTCTGAGTGCCCACCTTAGACAGCCATCAGGTTGTGAGAATCCAACAGAATGGAAAAGCACTTGAAGCCTCCTGCATGGTGCCTAGCACGTGGAATTGATTATAACCGCCCCAGGGAACATCAGCGCCGGAAGGGGCTCAAGGGAGGACCTAATCCCGTGTCTCATTTCACAGATGGGAAAAACAAGGCCCAGAGAGGGAAACTGACTCGCCCAAGGTCACATAGCAAACTCACGGTGACGTCGGGTCTCACACTCTCAGCTTATATTGAAATCGGAGACCAGGCCCAAGAAGCCTGAGCTTCCAAAGTGTGCAAAGGCGAAAGAAACTTTTTCAGTGGTTCCTCCAGCCCGTGGAGTCCTCAAACGTAAGCTTTCTTTCTCCACTTAGCAAGGAAAAACATGGTATTTCTGCTCAGAAGAAAACGTAAAAGTCTGAGAAATACTAAAATTAAAACTAAAGTCCCAGGTCTTAACAAAAAGGCACTCTCATTTAAGACTTCTTTTTCCCGCCTTCCTCTCTCGTTGCACGCCAGCCCCCCCCCAAATATTTTGCAATAACAGTAATGCTGAGAGGAAAGAAAAAATAAAAATCTGATGCACTTAACAGATATTTCGGTACAATAATGCATCACAGATGTTCATATCAAACCGTGCACGCGCGCATATAATTTTACTGAGAAGGCTGCTGCATTTCTGACTTTGGGGTTGGGGATCCCTAACAACCCCATCTGCCCAGACTCTAAAACTCCTCTCTTTCCAGTTCGCCCACAGCTGCCCACGGGGATGGAAGAGAGATTTCATCACCTCACTCCAAAATGATAACAGGACAAATTGGCGGGGTCGGACGCTCTGGCAGGTGGTGAAGGCTGTGCAGATTAGGCAACCAAGAGGAGTCCTGTTTTCCTTTGTTCAGGACGCGCTTCCTGCAGCCCTCTGGAGGAGCTGGACCCAAGAACAATTTTCAGAGCGGGCCCAGGCTGGTGATGGGGTGGGCGCGTTTTTGAACCCAGAGATTTGAGTCTGTTTGATCTTCAAACACGGGCTTTGGAGACTGTCAGCGGGCTCCTTGCGGGCCGATGAATGGCTCTCAGGAACTTTTCCTCAAACATAGCCTCACACACTTTCCAGCAAATGTTTTCAACCTACCAAAGCCGTCATTTAGTTGAACAGCAGTGTTTCCAGACCCCGAAGAAAGATAGTTTTGTTGTTTTAAGAGAGACAGATTAAAACCAGGGGCTCTTTCCCCAGAGGGCCTGTGTGCTCCCCTTAGCTCTGTCGGATTCCTCCGCGGTTGGTACAAAGAGGATGTTGAGAGGGACGATGGGTCCCTTACCTCCCCAGCCTAAAAAAGACATCGAGGCCAGACCTGAACAGAGAGGCCTCCCACAAACCTGCCTGCAAAATGAGATGGGCGGTGAGCGCTGGGGAACCCAGCACAGATGCTATCTGCTCCAGAGGCTGGCAAGGGAAAAGTCACTTCAGAGAGAGAAAGCCGGTATGTTCAGAGGAATCAGCGCTGGGCCAGAGAATGCACAGGATTTTCCCCCGTGGAGAAGGAGTCAGGCATAGGCAGAACCCTGCGGGGCGTGACTAACTGCCCCAATATTCCTGCCACCGGAGCCCTCTGGGTAAGGACTCCACAATTATGGGAGAGCCAGCAGGAGAACCGACAAACCCGCCTTTCATTTGGCCGGCAAATCAGTCTGGCTTCTTACCTCCCCAGGGACAATATTGCATTTCCCCTGGAAAAACAAAGGCCAGAGATCTCGGAAAGGGGATCAGTTTCTGCCGCTGTTTCCCTGGTGAAGAGCTTGCAACATCTTGGGAGAGCCAGCAGGTCTGGTCCCAGCGGTAGAGTTTCTAGCCCAGCCAACTTATGGGGCCGTTTCCTTAATGGAGGAGCACATATCGGGGACCATGCCTCACTCGGGGCATCGGGCCGAGTCCCGTCTCGGGGCCTCCTTGCAGGAGCCACCAGCCCTGACGCGGAGCCCCCATCCCGGGACTGACAGCCCGTTCTCAAGGCACAGATGTGAACTCATTGTTCCCAGGGCCTCGGAATTGGGTTTGGGGCCAGTGAGTTGTGAGTGACCTCTGCCCATGGAGACAGGGCTTTTAATGACATTTTGCTGGATCAGGTCTCTGGCAGCCAGACTTTAAACCTCCGGAGCTCCTCCCATCTCCCTGCCCCCACTCCTGAGGTTCAGAAATCAGAACTGTCAACCTTTAAGTGAACACATTTCTCTGAAATTATTAACCCCAAACGATCCTTGCTGACTTTCTCGCAGCCTAGAGAGGCAGTCCGAGGGTCGCCTGGAGCTTTGCAAGGGCCTGGGAAATTTGGCAGTGCTTAACCTCAAACAGCACCCCAGGGCTACCAGACGCCAGGCCCACTACACCTCCCTGCCTGCGGGCCCCAGGACGCACATCCCACATCCCCCATTGTGCATCCTCCGTACAGACACCAGCCCGAGGACCGCCTCCAGCTCTTGAGACCCCAGGGCCTCGGGAAGCGGGACACAAACTCGCAACTCCCTCTTTTGTTTTCCATCACTCTGATGCTCCCAGGGAAATTCTTTCTGCTCAGGCAAGCACGGCAGGTGGGAGTGTATATTCCCAAGAGGTAAGCTCATGGGGATAGAAACAAACGCCCAAACTCTTACCCCCAATTCTAGCATACACCAGTTAGCCCTCGGACCACCACAAAAGCAGCCAGAACTGCCGCCCAGCCCTAAAGACCCTCTCCTTGTGGGGAAGGACAGGGCTCTGGCTGCCGAAGGAGGAAGGCAATCGGACGAGGACAGAGGCGCACAGCGGCTGAGCCTACCTGGGAGAAGTTGAGCCCGTTGAGTGGATGGCACTGCTCCTCCACCTGCTCCACGGCCCCGGTGCTCTTCCTCATCTTCTCGGCCTGCTGGGCCAGGTAGAGGTCCAGCACGGGCACGCCTCGGGAGCGCACGTCGGTCTCCGTGAGCGAGTTCACCATAAGCATCACCCACACGGGCCTCTTGCGCTCCCAGTTGCCCGCGATGGCGTTGAATAGGTAGTCGGCGTACAGCCCCTTACCCCGCTGCGCGGGCGTCATCCATGAGGGCATCATCAGCTTCACGTAGTCCAGGTGGCGCTTCAGGCGCCAGTAGAGCTCGCGGGGCAGCACGTCCTGCAGGTTCTCCCCGTGCGGCAGCAGCTGGCAGCTGGCCAGCGCCGAGATGGTGTAGGGGTCCGTCAGGTCCAGCTCGAAGTAGACGCGGGCGCTGGCCTGGAAAGCTGCCTTGGAGTTGTCAGGGATGAAGTCCCAGACGCGGGTGTAGGGGACGTGGATGGTGCCAAACAGGTAGGCCGGCGGGTCGCGCCTAATAGTCCACAGGAAGGAGTTCAGGTCCCTCTGCTGCAGCAAAAGACAAGAAGGAAGGCAGTGAGGCTGAAGGCAGCAGAGTAAACCAGGGATGGCACAGAGGAAGAGGGGATGGAAGACAGAGACCTGCGTGGGGCCACGGGAAAGAGAAAGGGCTTTGAAAGCTGCAAGACCCACGTTCAAATCCTGGCTTTGCCCTATCTTCACTGTACGATCTTAAGCACATTGTTACACTTCCTACAGACTCAGTTTCCCCACCTGTACAATGGGGGGTGAGAGCCACTACCTCACGGGTTGTTGGGAGGTTGAAAAGCCACAATGTACGTACATCAGCCCTAAGAGTAGCGCCAGGCACAGAGGAAGGAGGCAGCGAAGGAAGCCAGGGACTGCCACACCACCTGAGAACATTCATGCCTGGCCAAGCCAAACCTTCACCCGTGGTGTTTCACGGGGAGGGTGGGGAGAAGGGGACCAAGAGTCCTGCTCTGGCAAGAAGAGAGGAAGTCATATAACTTTTAAACCCGACCATGAGAAGATCCGTGCCAAGAGCGGTTCGAAAGCAGAACGCCTATTAAAAATAGCACGGCTATTGAAACAGCTACTTCCCATTCATCAGGGGGATACAGTTTTCTTTTTGGAGGGCAGGTCTGGGGTGTCAGCTACTCTGCTCCACCGGCTGAAACCGCAGATGAGAAAGTGCTTTAGGACCTGCAGCCTAAGGGGAGTCTCAAGGCCCTGGTTTGGGAGGGGAAGATTCCACGGAATTAGTCCCAAGGAACGCACATACTCCGGGTGCTTTCCTGGCTCCCCCCTAGAAAGGTGTGCTTGCTCTCCAACCCCAATTCTCTTCATCTTCTATGACCTAAGCTCTGATGGGGGGGCAGTGTAGGGGCAGAGGAGGGGCACCGAGACAGGGGTCACTTCTCCAGATCCGTTTAGGGCCAGGAGTTAAGGGGCTATGAGAAAGGGACCATCATTTCTCTCAGGCAAAGTCCTCTTCCATCCAGAAAAACCCCTGGACTGCCCACTGACCACCTGCAAGCTTTGGGTCAACTTGTAAAATTTTCCTGCTTGATTCTAGCAGGAATGAAAAGTAAGTGTGGGGGTGGGTGGAGGGAACAGCATCTTACTTCACTAACAACTAAACATTGTGGATCCCAGCATACTGGGGACAGACTAGTTCTGAGTGCCGGCTGGCCCCAGCTCCCTGACTCGCACAAGTTGGGAGTCCCGAGTGCACCTTGCCCTGCTGACTGGGCAGTGAGGCAGGACCCTCGAGGAAAAACGTTTTCCACTCCCCTGGCCTCCAATTCAGGGTTATTCTCAAGCACTAATTTACACTTGGAGGGAGGGATTCTGGGGGAAATCAAGGCACTCCCTGGTTCGGAAGAAAAATCAGGAGAACCAGTAAATACTCAACCCCCGAGGAACTGTGAGGCCAGCAAGCCCCGGCACTTCCTTTCGTGTCCTCTGGAATCTGCCCCCTCTTGGCGAAATGGGGGCACTTGGGAGAGCGGGTGCTGGGGCCCGGGCTGAAGAAGAGGAGGGAAGTGGGGACGAACCTCGGGGAGAAAGTTTGCTTCAGGTCCGAGGGGGAGGGCAGGGGACTGCGGGGCGCCTGCGAGCGTGCAGAGGGTGAACCAGAGGAAGGGTCTGAGGGAAGGCAGAGGAGAAGGGCGAGGAAGGGCAGGAACAGTCAGGAGAGGGCAGAGGGAAACAGAGAGGTGAAGACAGGACGAAAGTAAGAACGAAGTGAGCCAAAGAGGGCACAGAGAGGACACGTCCACGCAGGACGCCGAGCCGAGGAGAGCCGAGAGCGCCGGCCGGCGTGGGGGCAGGAGCGGCGGGGGTCGCCCACCCGGCTCCCGGCGCGAGCCGGCGCCCAGCAGCAGAAGCCAGGGAAGGTGCCCGTGGAGCGCCCGGCGGGCGGAGGTGGCGAGGATGGGCAGAGGTGGGCGCGGAAGGCAGGACCCCAAACCCACGGTCCCCGCGGGGCTGGAGTGCCCGGGCGGCCGAGAGAGGGGCTGGGCAGGCGCTCGCTCACCGATCCGGGCGGCCGGCACTGTCCTCCGTCCGGGGGCTGCGGGCGGGCGCGGGCGGTGGCGAGGAGGGCAGCGAGCAGCGGCCCCGCCAGGGCGGCGTGCATCCTGCCGGGGCCCGCGGGGCGCGGGGGACCCTCCTGGGCGGCGCCCCCTCAGCGGGGCGGGGAGCCCCCAGCTGAGCACGGAGGTTCCTCGGGAGCGCCGGGCTCCAGCCGCGGGATGCTGGGAGCCCTCTGGGGCGTGGCTGGATTTCCCTGCCAAACCTGGGGGTCCCTCTGGGGCGGGGCTCCGTCTGTTGGAAGAGGGGGGTCCCTCTGGGGCGGGGCCCCCTCACCAGGGCGCGCAGCTCCTTTGGCCGAGCCCCGGGGTTCTGAGAGCGCGCGTCCCGGGGCGCGCTGAGGTCCCGGAGCTGCGTCTCGGTCCAGGGGCGCGCGGGGTTCCCGGGGCAGTACCGGGATTCCCGGGCGCACGGGGATCTCGGGGTTATGCTGGGGACCTGGGGCGCGCAAGGCTCCCAGGGGTGCGCGGCGCTCCAGGGGGCGCGCGGTGGGACAAGTGCGGCGGCGGGCGCGGCAGGGGCGGGGGTCGGGTCTGGGGCGCCCGGCTGCCCCTGAGCCGGGCTCAGAGGGGCGGCGGGCGGCCGCGCGGCCGCTGCCCGGGCTCCGCCATGCTGCTCCGCGGCCGGGAGGGAGGGAGAGAGGAGGGCGGGAGAGCGGCGCGGAGCCGGGCCGGGCGGGGGGCTGGGGCCGCCGGGGCGGGGGGAGGGGAGGACCCGGCGCGGGGGGCGGGAGGCCGGGGCCGCGCCGGGCCGCGCCGGGCCGGGCCGGGCCGCAGGGAGTCGGGGCGAGCTCCGCGCCCGGGCGCGGCGAGGCGGGGTCTGATGGGCATGGCAGGCGCTCGCTCCTCGCTCAATCGCTCGCTCGCTCCCTCACACACGCGCGGAGGGAGGCGAAGCCCGCAGCAGCCACTTCCCAACTTTCCAAACTTCCCAGCGCAACTTTTTCCTCTCCTCCCCTGCCCGCGCCTCCTCCTCCACCAGCCCTCCCCCTTCCCCTCACCAGCTCCCCGCCGGCCCGGAGCTTCCGCGCGCGGCCGCCAGAGGGCGCCCAGGCCGAGGCCCCGCTCGGCCAACCTCTGTCCGCTGTGCGGTGGACGCGGACTGGCAGGGCCGCGACAAATTTGGGGACAGGGACCAACCTCGCCCAATGCATCTGATGTGCAGGTCCTGGCGGGAGTGAACAGCGAGAGGGTCAGGAGAGGGCAGGCACTCCCAGACTGGCTGGGAAGACAGCACCCAAAAGAATCCAGGGAAGCTGGTATTTACAACTTTGTATCACGCACTGTTCTGACACTGGCGTGTGCTTAGTAGGTGTCCTGCCAACACTAGTTGAATTAAAACAAAACAACAAAATTATCTTCTTCAAAATTCCTTGGAACTTTCCATTTAAACAGTCCTCTCCCATCAAGCTCCTTGGACCCACACAGGACCCCTGGGAGGGGCCCTGGCAGGGTGAGGATTTATAGTCAGTCCCTTGGACCATGAGAATTGAAAGAGTCCTTGAAATCAGCCTCCTTCTGTTCCTGAGAGGCAAACGAAACTTAGAGAAGGCCGAGGGGCAAGGCCCACACTTCTGGATCGTTTCCAGCAAATGGGGAAACTGAGTCACAAGCACCACTGCTTAGTTCAGTTAAAGGGGAGTTCACTGACTCTTCCTATCCTGACCACGGAGACTGAACTGTGAATTGGGTGGACTTGTCAGGAGTCCACAGCCTGGAGAGGAAGATAGACAGGGACAGACATGCAAGGAGGTGACTCAAACACAGGTGAGTGCCGGGAGAGACAGGAGCACCAAGCCACGGGAACAGAGAGGAGAGGCTCCTAACGACCAGGAGGCTCAGGGAAGACTCCTGGGAGTGGTCTTGAAGGGTCAGTCACTGGTCGCTGAGTGGAAGAGGTGCACAATTCTTCCAGACGGGAGAAGAGCATGTGCCGAGGCGCAGAGGTGGGAGAGCACAGGGGCCTGCAAGTGGTTAGGCGTGCCTCGAACAGAACGGAACACCATGGTAGGAGCGGAGGGTGTGTCTCCTGGCCAGGCTGGAGAGCTTGAACTTTTCTGTACTAGGTGATGGGGAGTCGTTGCCAAATTTGAAGTCGAGCGTGGCTGGAGCAGATTTGTGCTTTTAGGAGGCAGGGATTGGAGGGGGCAGGTTGGAGTAAGGGAGACCAGTGGGGAGTGTGACTGCCAGCCCAGTGCTCTTCCCACCCCCCCCCACCTCCCTACCTCCAGGAACGAGACTGGGCAGCTGGAGGGTGGCCACCAGAGAAGGTTGGAGAGGAAGACCAGCAGGGCAGGAGGGGCAGAAAGGCTTCCAGGCACAAGATCCAGGTTTTGAGGAGAAACACAGAAAGGAGGCAAGTTGAACCTGGCAAGCTGAACCACAGGAGGTTGCCATTTTTGTAAATCAAAAGCGAATAGATGTTGGCAATTTCATATGGTCCAACCTACTAGGTATCCAGAGCAACTTCGGTCTCTTTGCAATGCACACATCTGGTGACAGATGCAGACTGGGCCAGGGTGCCCAGACAGTGTGAGAGAACAGTGGGCTCCATGTTTCCCACACACAGAGCTCTGAGAGCTGCTGCTGTGACAAAAGAGAAGTCCTTCAAAGAGACTTGACTACCGCGGCTCCAAAACGCCCCACAGAGCCACCACTCCACTCGGTAAGGAGGAGGCGAGACAGCGGGAAGTTAGAGGAGGACTAATTCCCCCAAGAGGGAGGGGAATTGGAAGAGACGAGGCAGACAGTAGACAAGAAAGGACCTGATCAAGTTAAAAATTGATCCGTATAATTAAAGTGATGGTACACGTCAATATATGTATGTGATTTTTTAAATGTTCCAGGTTGTTCTCCCTAAAATTGTGAAAGTTTTGTTGGCTAATTGTCATGAGTACCCACTATGATTTTCTCCTCCACGGCCCTATCCTATGGTTGTGTGACCAAAGCCAAAATAATTAACCTCTCTCTGCCTCTCTTTCTTCATCCAGCTTCCCGTCCTCCCTATTTTTCTGAGTCAATGTGAGCAATAATGCTTTAGGATCTCCACTGGTACTGTTACTGATATTGTTAATGAGATGCAAGAACAAACAGGTTTTTCCACCCAAGAGAATTGAAAACAAATGTCCACACAAAATCTTATTGATAGCAGCATTATTCAAAGTGGCTAAGAGGAAGAAAAAACAACCCAAATGTTCATCAACTGATGCATATATAAAATGTGGTTTATATTATGATGGAATATTACTTAGCCATAAAAAAGGAATGGAGTACCTATACATGCTACCATATGGATCAATCTTGAAAACATTATGCTAAATAAGAGAAGTCAGTCACAAGAGGACACATATAACATGCTTCCATTTATATGAAATGTCCAGAATCAGCAAATATATAGAGGCAGAGAGTAGATTAGTGTTTCTTTACGGCTAGGAGGAAGGGGGAGGTTGGGGGACCATAGCTGAAGGACACCGGGTTTCTTTGGGGAGTAATGAAAATATTCTAAAGTTGTGGTGATGGTTGCACAACTCTGTAAATATATTAAAAACCATCAAATTGTACACTTTAAATGGGTGAATTGTATGGGATGCAAATTCTACTTTCATAAAGCTATTACCAAAAAAAAAAAAACAACAAAGTTGGGACCTCAGGAGGGAGCCCTCCCCAAGAACAAGGGTTCTCGTGTTCTTGAACAGTTTTTCCATGCTCCTTGTGGTGAGGGAAGCCCTGGATGACGGCTCTGAAGTCCTAGAGATTCATTGTGCTTCTGCCGACGTCTCAGTGGGTGGCTTTGGGTAGATCCATGTCCCTATCGTCAGTGAGGACAAGCTGGTGGAGCAGACAACCTTTAAAGCTCTTCTGTATCCAACACTAGAGTTCCCAGTTCCGGGGCCACCACCCGCCCAGGGGCCTTCAGGCAGGACGGGAAGGGGCACAGGGCTCAGACAGCAGCGGCCAACTCAGGCGCCTGCCTCCCCTCCCGGGGTGCATCCGGCCTGCTTTCCTTTTATTGGATTTTAATGAAGTTGTTCAATCAGATGGGTACCAGGAATCTGTAGGCCGGAACAGCCCGGGCAGGACAGAGGCCTTGTAGCGTAACTAAACCAACAAAGCTTGCCTCTTGAGCGGATCCGGGAGCCCCGGGTCCTGCCAAACGGCATCTCTGGGGGAGGGAGGTGAGGGGCTCGCCTGCTCTGCCGCCCCAAAGGAGAAGCTTCGCTCTGGGCCTGAGGGCTGCCCTCTTGGCTAGCCATTGCCTGGGCGATTGCCACACTGGTGTTTTCAAGTGGACCTGGCCTGGCCCGACTTCCAGCCCCAATTCCTATCCCAGTGTGCCCGACGGCTCCGTCCTCTCCTCCCCAGCCTTAGCCTGTTGGAAGCTAATCCGTGGCGATTGAAGGACAGATTGCCTTGGGGGCTGGGAGAGGAGGGAAGAAGATTCTAGGACCACGCAGAGGTCAGCAGTGCTTAAGACAGTCTAGAGTGATGGAAAAAAACAGAAAAAAGGGCAGACGCTGAGATGATTCAGAGAAGGGCATTCCCTCACGGCATGGGGAAATAAACACATGATCATTGAAGCACAATAAAGGATTAGAATTGCCATACAAGCTGGCATTCATTAAAAACAAAAAACTCTACTGTGGTCCAGCCCAGTGAGGGAGTGGAGGGCACAAAGAAATCAGCCGAGGGTTTTATTTTGTTTTGTTTTTTGGTGAGGACGATTGGCCCTGAGCTAACATCTGCGCCAATCTTCCTCTTTTTGCCTTAGGAAGATTATCCCTGAACTAACATCTGTGCCAGTCTTCCTCTCTTTTGTATGTGGGACACCACTGCAGCATGGCTTGATGAGTGTTGCATAGGTCCATGTCTGGGATCCAAACCCAAGAACACTAGGCTGCCAAAGCAGTACGCACAAATTTAACCACTACACCCCTGGGTCAGCCCCCAGCCCGGGGTTTTGTCCTCAGGGAGCTTGCAGACCAGTGAGGGAGAAGAGATGCAAACAAATAGGGTGCTTTAGAAACAAATAGAGGGAGGACAAGGAGGAGCAACGTTTGGAGAGAAGAAAGTCAGACTTGGGAGAGAGGAGATCAACAAAGTTCTTTGCCCAAGAGGTGATGTTTGAGTTGATCTCTAAGGATAAGCAGGATTTGGACAGGGAGGATGAGGAAAGGAAGGTCATTTCAGACAGCGGGGGTGAGCATGTGCAAAGGCGTGGAAGTGTGTTTGGCGTCGGGGGCGGGAGACCGTAAACCATGACGGGGGAGAGCTAGAATGTGAAGGTGGTGCAGGGAGCCAGGCCAGGCTGCCTGTGGCTTGTGAACACACGTGCACACACACACACAAACACATGCATGCAATCACTGGAGGCACCTTCGCACCACATATGGCACGTCCTGAGCTGTCTCTCCCAATGTGATTAGGACAGTGGCATGATTGCCACGTAGCAGACTTCGGCCTTTCCCTTTAGCCCCGGCTGTGCCAGGCTCTATTCCTCTCTCTGGGATTCGATAGAAGGATGGAAAGGGAAAGAAGAAATGCGATGCTTGAAACGAAATCCCCATCGAGCTGACCACTAAATAGCACTTAGAC